ACGAGGACGAGGACGAGGACGAGGACGAGGACGAGGACGAGGACGAGGACGAGGACGAGGACGAGGACGAGGACGACGACGAGGACGACGACGACGACGACGACTACTACTACTACTTCTGCTAGGAGTAGTAGGAGTAGGAGGAGTAGTAGTAGGAGTAGGATGAGTAGGAGGAGTAAGCGGAGAAGTAGGAGGAGTAAGAGGAGTAGGAGGAGGAGGAGTGCAGGTGCAGGTGCAGGTGCCAGCAGCAGCAGCAGCAGTATATAGGTAGTAGCACCAGTAGCAGCAGGACCAGCAGCAGCACCAGCAGGAGCAGCACCGGAGACGGCAGTGCTGGTAGAAGAAGCTGTGGAAGGGCTACAATCTCTATTTTGAGCAACGCGTGGACCGAGCAGGATTTGCCAGAACATATGAAGCGTCACTCAAACTAGTGCCTTGCATCTTCTCAGCTAGGTGTCCCGTTCAAGAACAGTTCTTCATGTCTGGACTCCGGACGTTTAGATTTCAATGTGCCAATCTGAAGCCTGTTACTGGTTGCTGGAGTCAGCGAGGAAAAAGAAACATGGTCTATCATCCCAGCACCTTAAAACGTGTCAAAGGTTGATTTATCTTGGACTTTCTCCCGCAGCCAAAATCGACTTTCTCGTTGAGTCAAGGTTGCTCGAAATGCATCTCTGAATCTAGTGCAGCTTCGATCGTTCATACTCTAGTCCACTCTGGATATATGTCTAAAATCCTATTTGGGGGAGCCGCAAGGCTTAAAGCTTGGATCATGTGCTTAGGTCTTGAAGGCTTTCAGAAGGTCCTGGACAAATCGTAGAGAGCCAATCCTCCATTCACATGGTGCAAGGCCTGAACACTTGCACTTACACTGTGGGAGTTGGCTCGTTTCAAGAGCCCACAATCGCGAGAAATCAGTGTGGAAGTTGGTTTCAGAACTTCGGGATACAAAAAAAACAGCTCGTAACTACTTGGATGATTGATTTTCATCGATTTGCACATGAGCTGAGCTCTGAGTCTGGTACAGTAATGTGTGCCGCTGCAAAGACATGGTGCCTGGCACGGCTTTACTGAGGCCGACGCCTTCCAGTCTGGCACAAGCGAGCCAAAAGAGCTCTTCAAAGGTGTCAAACTGCTCCCACAGGTCCTTTTACAGCGCACAAACAACTTCAACCAGGAATTGTTGATCAGATTGCTCCGAGAAAGAGCAGCAAAAAGCCCTGCAGAACGATGCGATACTTTGATTAAAATCAATTAAATATACTCGAGTACGATAAAAGGCTTGTGTCTGTACCAGTATGCATGAAGTTCATGCGGTCTCTGGCCGGATCCTTGATGTCATCCAAAACGAGGATCTGATGCAATTGGAAAAAAGCAAAGAAGCAGGCTCGCCGTGGCACAAAGAGTCAACCTTTGTTGTCCATACTCAGTCTCTGGCATCAGCCAAATCCATGGCAATGACACGGTCCACCTGAAAGAAATCGCTTGGTCAGGGCAATGACACGGGTTGATGTGTCAGACTCTCAAGGGGTGGCGGAGTCTTTACAAGCAGATACGCAAGTCAAGGAACTCACGCAAGTTATATATAGGAGCAAGGACGCTACTAGGAGCAAAGGGCATCGCTATATACTAGGAGCAAGGACGCTACTGGGGGCTCCTTCCTGGCCTTACTACTAGGAGCAAGGAACAAGGAAGATCACAAGAAAGAAGCAGAATGATCTCAGTTCACAAGGAACTTTCAAAAGTCGTCCTGAAAGAAACAAATCCTTCTCCGTCATAGAAAAGGTCAATGTGATAGAATCTGTTTAGCACGTTGAATCTTTTGTGGCTCTTTTTCTACTACAAGGACAACTGGGAGGAGTCAGCAGAAGCCCGGCAAACTGGCTCCCGCCGTGCCCTGGCAGTTTGCTGGGAAATCGCACATCTGGCAAGAGCTCATGGCCTGGCAGTCTCGGCATTGCAGCAGGAAGTCCACCATGATAATGCGAAGACTTGTCAGGTGTACAAATGAATCGCGCCAGTAAAGCTTCACCTGCGAAGGCAATCACCTCAAGACCTTACCTCTGCTTTGAGGCCCACAACTGACTGTCTAGTGGTCCGCAGTGTAGACTGACTTGCATCTTGGCTTCATACCTATTTCATTGACATCACAATCAGAAGGATATTCACCTTAATGCAATGTCACGAAGCGCTCACGAGGAGGGCCAAAATTAACAGCTTAATGCAATGGCTTGCCTGTTCGTGGGCTGACACATCTGTGGCTGTGGCTCATGAACATCTTGAACTTTGGGTGTTGGGTAAAATCCTGGAAAGCAAGAGAGTTGTCATCACTACCTTTTCCTTTGAATCATTAGCTTAAGCTATATACGTGCCAGGTGTCTAAATCAAAAAGAGGTCCAGATATTCAAAGGTCACCAAGTTGACTTCCTTCAGCTTGCCAGCTTTGTCCTCAAAGATGCAAACTTCCTACGTGCTGTTCTTCCCATCAAGCAACAGTGTAACTTAGCAAGAGGAAGGTTTGATGCGCACAAACTTAGCCCGGCACCAAAGACCGAAGGTTTGCTCGCCAATCCTGCAACCAACCGAAGGTTTGTAGTACAGTACATGATTGAACTCTTGTAACAAAGCCACTAAAAAATATCGCGGAAAGTGTTCAATCAGAATAGAGTCCCGGTTGCTATTGATTAAATAGGCTTCACAATGCATGTCCAAGGGTTCTCACTCAGCCTCAAGGCCCTCAGCATCACCCAGGACAAAGATGCGAAGAGGCTGAGACCTGCGCCTGTGACGTGGGGTGACAGTGTGGCGCTTACACAGCAAGCAGAATCACATGCAGGTTGATGCTCTTTGAGCACTCATGCCAAATGTGAGAATGAGAACGAGTGCTAATTTCACTGACTGCCACAGCAGCAGCAGCAACACCACGGACCACCACCACACCATAACTATGATTATCACAACCGAATTCAGCCAGGAAAAATCAAAACCAAAGCCTGCAACCAACAACTACACCCAAACCACCCAACCAACCATCTATAACCAGTCAGCGGCAAAATGAATTTGCAGTAAAAGGACCCCCAAGAAGTGATGCAACAAGACTTAGTAACAAGAGGGCGCTACTAGTAACAAAGGGCATCGCTACTAGGACGGTACTAGTAGCTCCTGGCATTACTACTAGTAGCAAGAAGCTACTAGTAGCTTCTTGTTCCTAGTAGCGATGGCCTCCAACCTAATAGCGATGGCCTCCACCTAGTAGCATCCTCTTGCTACTAAATCCTAATAGAATACAAGAAAAAACGATCTTCCTTTCTTTCTGCAAAAGCTGCAACAAGCCATGCGGGCTGGAATTCGGCCCTTTTTGAAAGAAGCCAGCATCAGTTCTACTGTTGTTCATGGTTGGCTTGTTCGTGTTTATAGTGAACGTGTTTTTTTTGATGTTGTGCTGTTGCACTGTGAAAGCAGTGCCTTTTATATAAATAGGTTGTGTTTGGGTCTACAACCAACACCGAAGCAACATGTCATGACAATGAAGGCGCTCTAAGCATGCAAAGTCCAGGGAAAGCGATTCGGGCCCACGACACTGTCCAAACACTCATGTCCGAAAACCTGTTCGTGGAAACCTGGTCCAGCCAAAAAAGGCTACAGAAATCCTTCTGTGGAAGTGCAGATTCCATAGAGAACGAATGCATTCATCGCCCTCCCGTCCCCCTTCTTCATCCCCCTTCCCCACCCCTGAGTCCACGTCAAGTGACACTGAAATATGATAAAATCAGGGCCCAGTTTACAGTGACTGCAAAAATAAGCATTGAGCACCTCAGAATACTCCACAGTGTCGTAAAGCCCAACTTAGCCGATTGGCCTCGCGCGAAGCAGCCAATTTGCCGAACTTGTTCATTTTGGACATTCCCTAATTACATTCCACCTTGTCTAAAAGCCAACAAGGGATGTGGACTCATGCTAAGACTCAAACCAAGATTGAGGAAAAGCAAGTTAACCTCTGCAGTCCTCAAAGGCTTTGGGTTCGATAGATTGAAGTCCCCAGTCTCTGAACCCAGGTGCACACGTATTGATAGGCACAGTCTTCTCAACTGTGGACTCCTGAAACCAAAGGCTCAGAAAGGCTTAGATTGGACTCCAAGTGGAACCCCTTTGAGCTGAAACGAAAGTCTCTTGGATCTTCTCTGCGTCCTGCAATCTGGGAATCATGTTGTATGCCAGTTCATCATGCTCCGTCACCTTGGAAATCAACATGGTACCTTTGTTGCAGCCTTTGTCGTTAGTGCATGAGCCAAGGGTGGGAAGTGCTTGCAAGCTTCTGAAACCATGCACTGGCCAAACTTCAGCAATTGCAGGAAGAATACGCGAAATTGTGTCACAAACATTGTGTTTTGTTCCAAAACCCTGGGCTTCTTTTGCAACGTGCCAAAATACCCTAGGAGCAGTATACTTGGATTGTCTCATGAACCTTCCGGACTCAAAATCCAAAAACGGACATGATGCAGCCGCTTTGGGGCTACCGGCTACAAGCTTGTAATATGTCATCAAGACTTCTCCGAAAAGGTTGCTTTGCACCTGTCACGAAGACAAGCGAGTCCTACCACTTCCTTCCATGATCTATATTAATCTATATATATATAGCATTACACTCAAGACTGTAAATTCAGGATGTTGTATGCCCACCTCCTCGTGTTGCACTTCTGGAAACGATCTTCCTGAATTGACCTTGGCAAAGGTACGCACTCTCCAAGAGCTCTGGTGCGATTGATTCGTGCAAGAACTGAAACTACCCGCAAGCACTCTTGGACAGATTCGGCATGAAGCGGTCCCGGTTCTTGCACAGACTCAAATTTGAGCCTCGGTGCTGCCAAACTCCCATGGAGAAAGGAAGCAAAGGCCTGATTGCAGACTGCCAGCTTGAATAAACACGCGAACTTTGATGTGCTGCAAGAGCTTTGCAAAGCTTGCCCCTTGACAAAAGCTCTGGGACCTGTCCACTTGAGTCCAAGCCGGCCCCTCCTCCAGTCGCAATGCTGCTTTGGCAAGGCGACGGCTAATCCTAATCCAGCTTTCCACTGGATGATCAGAACAGAAGGATTGAGCTGCTCGGAAGTGAGACGACTGAAATGCAAGAAAGTCGACAAGTTCCATAAAAGTGTCACACGAGGTTGCAGGTGCAGCGTCTTGACTAAGATCCCAACGTCATGGCACGAGGCCTCACAGGGTCTATAACTCCAACATGATGGGGGCATCATGAAGGCTCCCAGGTCTCAGAATAAAAGGACGGTCAAACCACTTCAAGTGCCGGAAAGTTGACCACAAAAAGAAGTGTCTTCCAATTGCCCCAATCAAACAGGAAATGCAATCAAAATGTGTCTGCGGATTGCAGTACAACGAACTTGGTTACCAAAAACTCTGTGCTGAGCTCCCGGCAAGAGTTCAGCGACAATCTGAGCCTTGCAAGACTGTGTCTCCAACTCGACATTGACAGCAGTGACTGGCTCAAAAAAGGAATCAACTACAGTGGGAAGGAAGCTTCGAACCCAACTACATGCCCGCTTAAAAAGCCCAAGAAAATGATTTGGTCATCCATGTCATCCATGAGCAGCTTCTGCTTCTAGGCATCCCAAACGAGGGGCTGCATCGTATCGATCGCCGATGTGAAGGCATCTTTTAAGTAGTCAGCCTGAAACGGTCAAACTCTTCAAGGGGTGCAATCACCACTCCAGCTTGGCATGGGTACTTCTTGCCCCCCAATCTCAAGATTGCAGGGATCAAATGGTAAAATCATGCAAGATCTATAGGGTTTTATAGGTAAGTCAACTGCCTGCATATAGTGCACTAAGAAGTTCTGAACACATTCATGGCCATTGTGTGTACCCATACTTGAGGACAGCTAGGGTTAGTGAAAATTGTAGGAGAGCTCAAGACAAAATCGAAAAGAACAAAAAACAAGGACCACGGGGCAATCGAACTAAAGGCCAGAGCACGGACGACGGACAATATCTTTCATGCAAAATTTGTGGCGGTGTCTGGCGGGCCAAAGTCCGATGTCTGAGGTTTGCTCCGATACCCTGACCAATTCTGAGAAATTCTAAAGCAAAAACAACTCTAACTAGCAAAAGCAAGCTTTAGTGATCTGTCTTTTGACAGAACAACGATATATGATGTCTACATGGGGGGTTGTTTCCGCGAGCAGTCGGCAGCCTGCACACAAGCATCTGCTGCGGTCGTCAACTGAGACCATATCACATCTCTGGAAGTCTCACAGCTCCATCACTCTCGGTGTTCGTGCATCCTGTCTACTGCAAAGCACAGGTGTTTTGTCTGAGGCTGGAACTGCCAGCATTCGCCAAGCTCGCTCATAGTGATGGTCATAGTCCATTAGGATCCTTCAACCACCAACTCCTATACTAGTTAGCATTCAACCAATATGCCAGCAACAACTGCCAGCCCTCAACCATATTCGTACAAGATGGTACAAGTACTGCAGCAGCAAGCGCAAGTTTCAAAAGTTGCTGTAGTTGGAATAAGCTCCAAGACGGTCCAAGACGGTCCAAGCGTCCTTCTACGTTCGAGTGCCTTTTCAAGAACCTGATTGTTCAGCGAGCCTCTCCAAGGAGGCCACCACGTAGGATCGCTCCTCAGGGAGAGGAAAAAGATCGAAAGAATGAGGATGAAAAAACGGAGAGGGAAGGAATAGAAATAGAACTTGAGGCCAAGGGGGGGGGGCGAAAGCTAGCGCTCCAGAATGGGAAAGTGGAGGGCAGCAAGGTAGGAAAAAACACGGCGCTCTTTTTGGAGGTAGTCAAGGAGGCAGTCAAGGCAGTCATTTAACCCCTCTATTTCGGATCCTCCTGCGAGAGAAGAGAGAGAAGAGAGACGGAAAGACGAGAGACAGAGAGGAGAGAGAGAGAGAGAGGAGAGAGAGATTCAAGAGAGATGAGAAAGAGATGAGGGAGAGATGAGAGAGATGAGAGAGAGATGAGAGAGAGATGAGAAAGAGATGAGGGAGAGATGAGAGAGATGAGAGAGAGATGAGAGAGAGATGAGAGAGAGAGAGACAGTGAGAGTGAGAGTGAGAGTGAGAGTGAGAGTGAGAGTGAGAGTGAGAGTGAGAGTGAGAGTGAGAGTGAGAGTGAGCGAGTGCGGCCGCAAGATACGCAACGCTAACCGCATGCCAAAGAGCGACGACAGGACGGAGTCGAACTTGCGAAGAGGGAGGAGGGAGGGAGGGAGGGAAGGTGGGAGGAAGACAAGGAGGAGGAGAGGGGAGGTGGGGAGGAGGGGGGGGGCTTCGACCTGAAAGATCAGGGGTTAGGATTTGCACCCGATGGAAAGAAACCTTGAACTCCAGCTAGCTTCGCTAGCTTTTGTGAATAGATGTATGACAAAGGGGAACAACACACTGTGCGTCTTGTTTCTCTTCTGCCAACATAATTTGCAACTGAAATGCTGCCAAACCAAAATGCACCCAATGAGGCTTCCAAAAACCACTTGGCACTAAGGACAGGCACTGCTGGCTCAGCTGACATCTTCGATTCCGCCACCGCACTGATGACGCGGAAAATGAAGTCTGTCGAAGTCAGCGCAAAGCTGAGTCGCTTGACTTCCGATTTGTACAACTTGCCTGCCCTATCTTTGGCTGAGCCACAGCAGTCCCTCACAGGGCAAAGCAAACCCCCACAAACATTGATGCATACAAATGTCGACAATACAGAAGAACATCCCATCACACACCTTCAAAGACAAACTAGTGTGACAAGTAGAGGGAGTCGGGAGGCAATGGTGCTCCTCTATTTAATCTAACTCGTAGATGATTCTAGAGTTCTTCACCGCAAACGGCTAGCTCGATGGCTCAATGCCCCCACTGGCACTCTGAGATAGCAGCTCATCCCGATGCTCCAAGTATTCCTCCAGTTGGCCAAAATATTTGTCTTACACATCTCACATGACACAAAATCTTGGTCAAGTGAGAATTCGGTGAAGTGCTTGATCACTCCGCACGCAAAAAAGGAAAACTGCATCTCACAAAATGAAAGTAGAGATCCTGAGGGCATTGAAGCAGTAAGTCTTCTTCTGGAACCACATCCAATGGTGGACAACAGGCAATCTCAGTGCAACCAACAGTCTCACTTGGCTTCAAGCAGGCTTTAGCAAGAAAAAATATGAAAGCTCTTGCCTGACAATACCCGGAACTCAATCTGTTTCTCGGCTCGGAACGTAAATGATGAGCGTTGGAAAGCACTGAGAGCCCTGGAACATGATGCCATTTGTGCTGCCCGTGTGCTCTTAACTACAGTTGGCAGCTACTAACTGCTCAGCAAACCTTCTCAGGCACCCAACTTTCTTCGATTCAGAGTTACTGCCTTTCCAACGGCAGGAATTTCTTCAGTCTTTTGCTTCATATCCTTCTATCGGACTTGTTCCTGGAGCCCAAACAGCTTGCTCAAACAACGCCTTCGCCTGAATCATCACTCTAAACTAATACATACTATAGTCCTCGGAGAAAACACTCTTTGTGGGTAGTGGCCTTGTCAGGCAGATAGAGGTTGGGATCTTGATGTAGATTCTCAGAGAATCTGGTGTTTGCGCACCTGCTAAAAAATGATCGAGTTGTCGCAGCACTGTTTGTACCCCTCCATCCTCACATCGAATTTGGCAAAGGCCAGGGCCTAGCAGGGCCTAGCGGCCCTGATCAGGCCCCTTCTGGAGGAAGTTTTTGGTCGGGCCGCTCCTTCAGAGCTCGCTCGACCCAACGTTGAGATCCACAAGCGTCGCCGAGCTTCGCAGAATGGCACCAAGAGAGAAGCATTGGGGCTCAGAGAGAGTGCTATATAGATCCGTCCATTCTTTTTGAAGGCCCGGCTGAGATCAATGCCTCATTGGAACAAATGAAAACGCATAAAGGGTTTTATACTTGGGCACTCTGACTTCGATTTATATAACCCGCTTGACATCACCCAGTCAGGAGTTCCTAGACTCAACCCCCCCCACTTGGGTTAATGGCACTGGACCAAATCACTACTTGTCATCTTCAGAAGCAGAGCTGGGGACTCAACAGCTTTCTTCCGAACCCGCGGAAAAGGTGAACTGTGTTTTAAATGGTGATAGCGTCACAATTTCGGCAACACGAACGTTGTTGGGGAGCTGCGGTTGGCTCTTTGATCGCGTAGATCTCATTGGCCGGCGCAGGCCCAAAACGGCTCATGGCCTAGAAAAAGAGTCATGGAAACACTGTCAGTCAGTGCTTCTGGATTTCAGCGCTGCTCTGCTTTGCAGCAGCAAGCCATCCAACCACCCGAATGAAGGCAGAAAGGTCCAAGACATTCCCGCAATCCATAAAGAGCTTCACCTGCATTGGACACAAAGAGAGGGGAAGAAAGAGGCAGGAAAATAGGGTTTCGTTCAGGATGTGATGAGGAAAGAGCGACATGGTGCCGTTGAGCCTTACATCATGCCTCTTGCTGACTGACGGAGAAGTCACTTGTCAATTTGGCTGCGCAGCAATCAGAAACATAGCCATATCACTGACCACGCTTGAAAACGAGACTACATTGTTGTACCAGGATAGTGGCTGTTAGATGTTTTACGGCCTGGCATATCCAACAAATGGGGAAAATGAAACCGCAGCAAGGATTGCAAAGGAGATTGTGTTTGCCAGCTAGTGACAACTCCAAAGACCATCCCTCGTTTTGGTTCTCTGCCTTCACCTCTTCCTTTTCAATGGGCGTCAGGGTCACGCCAAGCTTGTTCAGGACACTCCAGATCCCGTTGATACTCAGGGTGGCCTTCCAGCACTTCTGGGCGACAAGTGGAGGATTAGCTCATGCAGCAACATGTGGTAAACATGGAGACAACCTCATACCTTCACCTCTACCTGCTGCGAAGACCTCACTCAGCGATTTCCGGACCGAGCAGTCTTCACTCGCTCCATCCATGCTGCGAATCCAATTGGAGGGAAGCAAGAAAAAACACCCAAAACAAACCGCATCAAAACAATGGCCACAGTGTGCTCTGCCTTGCTGGGATCGCCCTGTAGTTTTCCTTTCTGCTCAGCTTTGACACCTACAAAGGGAAAAGCATCGAACAGTGCTGTCCCAGCCATAGAACTACGAAACAGTCAGAATCATGTCGATCTTTGCATCATCATGTTTGCACTGCCTTACTCCAACCAAAGTCTGGCCTCACCTTTTTCTTCAATCTTTCAAAACATCAACGGAACTCCCCAAGGTCCCACCCAAGTTTGCGGACCTTCGCGGAAGGCGTTGGAGAGCTCATCCACCTCTGTCTGGGAGAGCTGCAGTCCACCCCCGCTAGAACGCAATTCCGAAGCACGCAGCTTGTCCTCGTTCAGTCATTTTATCAGCTGTGAAATCCAACTTCACAAGGCTTGGCACTTCTCAAAATAATGTGATTGAAATCTTTGATGAATCTTGATTGGGGTTAACTGCTTCTTTTTTGGTGGATTGCTCAACAACCTTATGGTGTCGCCAAGATTCCTGGTGCGTCTGCAGGATGCGTTGCAGATGGATGAAAACCATGAAAGTCACGGCTGCAGAGCCTTCAGGACCACACTGCTCTGGAGGAACCTGAGAAAGCAAAAGGTGCTATTGGAGGCCATCGCAAGTAGGTTGGAGGCCATCGGAGGTCATCGCTATTAGGTTCCTTTCGCTACTAGGAACAAAGGGCATCGCTTCTAGGAGCAAGGACGCTACTAGGGCTCCTGGCCTTACTACTAGGAGCAAGGACGGGTGAGGGTCGGATCGGTCACCAGGATCGGTCACCAATGTGGTCGGATCGGTCGCCCCGGATCGGTGACCACAAATCACGGATCGGTGGCTGATCGGACGTTTACCCGAGCAAGGACGCTATTAGGTTCCTTTTTGCTACTAGGTCCGGAGGCGATGGCCGTGCCACGACGTGAGCCCACGACGTGAGCCACGACGTGAGCGGCCACGTGGACCACGGCACATCGTGACTCGGATGCCACGGACACCACCGTTGGACAAGGAGCACCGCTGGTCAGCGCCGTTGCGCGTGCTTCATTGATGAAACCCAGAAGCTGCCTCAATGGGTCAGTTTCCATCCAACTTCTACGTCTATTCCTCACGTTCTTTCCAAGGTTGAATTGGAACTGGCCTATGTACCCTAAGAAAATGCCAACACTTTCAAGAGAAGGGATGCAGCCATGTTGCTGTTGGTCCTTCTTTGTTGCCAAAGGCAAACCTGCAATGATGGACAGTAAAGCTTTTTGTGTCAAGCACCACCTAGACAGAAGCACATCTGTAGTCAAAGAGTCAAATACATAAACACAAGGGTTGTGTGAGTGTGAGAGAAAAAAGTTAGTGGCCAGGCTGTCAATAGCCACATTGGGATGTGCTTCAATACAGCTCTAAATGAAATGCTCTCGAATGAGTGTCAAGCAAAGAAACGAACATCCGACATGATGATTGGTCCAGTTTGCTTCCGCTAGAACACTCTAGGATCCAGAGTGCCACCTCGTTCTTTGCAAAAGGAGACTAGCTCCTTCTGAGCAATCTCACCACCTTGGATGGTCTGCGTCTACCTGCTACTACTGCAAAAAGGAAGTAAGAAAGTGGCATTGCATCAACTCAGAACTCAAAAGCTTGGCAAACCTTTTCTTCTTTTGTGTTGTGTGTTATGTGTTTATCTTTTTTGGCTCGCTCCTACTTCATTATGTAGGCGGCGACTTGATTAAGTAGGGGAGTAACACTCTAGTAACTGGACGCATAATAGCTCACGCTTCTTCAAGGAAGCTCCCAGCTCCCCCCGCCTGAGGGCCGGGGGCTTCCTTGAAGAAGGGCTCGCACTAATGAGTTTGTTCCTAGATTTTTAGGGAAAGTTACCACCGTACCACCACAATAAAAATCAATAGCCTCTAGTATATCTGCTTCATGTGTTCTGACCAAAATGATCCTGTGTGCAACGGAGCTTCTGTCATCCTGAGCACCAGCTGTTCGCGCGTTCAGACAGAAGAATCACAGGAAAGGTTATGAAGTCTTGCTAAGCTCATTTGTATGCGTTTGCGGCTTTGACACAAACCTGGTCTGTGCATCTGTTTGCATTGTAGCTATAATGATCAAACATTTAGAATCTGAACATCTGCTGTGCCAATGTCGGACATCCTTTCGCAAGAACCGAGAATCCTCATCCAAAGACCTGAACAAACGACGAAACTTCTCCACTGCATCATCAGTGAAGCTGGCTTGCCTTGGCCAGCACAGATTCGTCCGCAGTTTCAGGATGAACAAGTTTCCCTAAAAAATCTAGGAACCAAATCATTAGTGCGAGCACTTCTTCAAGGAAGCAGTCCTTGAAGAAGCGTCAGCTATCCTGCGTCCTACCTAGAGACGAACTTCGGCAGTAGCTTGTTTACCTCCTTACTTAATTAAGTAGGCACCTACTTAATTAAGTAGGGCCAAAAAGACTTTTGGAAACTTCTTTGATCCTTCGACCCGCTTCTAGAGACTCCAAGCTGCTTTCGCATCTTTTGCATGTTCATTCGCCGGCAGGAGTCTACCAACAAAACCAGTGCGTCGTAGTCCAAGGCGTTTTTCACCATGACCAGGAACAAATCTGGCCAAACCAGTCAAGGGGATCCAATGCATCAAGCCAGGTCGTTTTTTTTTTGCAAAAGGAAAATGAATCACTGGGGAGCTCAATGTACGATTCACCTGCCTAGTGTTGACTTTCCCACAGATTCCGGATATCCAAGATATCGGAACATCTCTGCCACTTGCTTTGGTTCGATGGTGACTCTGATGTCTCCATCCTTACTGGCGATGAATCGCTGCTCTCGGTTTAAATGCTCCGAGTGTCACCCGTTCAGCGAAAGAATATCTTTAGCATTCTTTAGCGCAGAAATGAGAGAGAACAATGCAAGTTCCAAGGATCATCGGTGACAGTAGCCTCTGCTATCCGATCGAAGGCTTCCTTGACGCCTGTGGACAACTCACTTTGAGCAGAAAGCTTTGGACAATCAGAATTGCACTCAGAGCAAGCAGAACGGAGTGTCTCAAGGTGGGAGCAGAACTACTTCAGACCGAATCTTTGTTGCTCTGCATGAAGAACATGGAACACGGATGTCTTCAGCGAGATTATAGAGACAAACTGTCATCGTTGAACATCGCTTTATTTTTGCCAGGAAGCGAAGTAGTTCGTCCTCCCGTTGGAGACGCATCAGTCGCAAGAATTCGTTGAAATCCAATGCGTTGCTGCCATTCCTCACATCAGAAGAACGTTCCATATCCGATCGTTGAAGTCATTGCCAAGGTCACGGTCACGACAACAAAGCTGTCAAACATCCCGCAAAAACTGCCTTCCACGCACTACTAACCCACCTGCATGCAGAAAATCAAAACTTGTTGTCCATGCACCAGAATGGCAATGTGGGCGCAGCCCGGTCAACAACATTTTGTGAAAAATATTGCCAGAAATGTGGTCTCTGGTTGCACCAAGGACACATGGACATATGGATCCTTAGGATCCTTCACTCTGTAGCAATCTAGACAAGCCTGATGTGCCACCAGGAAACCAGTCCACTGTTCTGACTAAAGCCTGACATGCAAAGCAAGAACGTCTCCGCAATAGTCTGCCATGAGAAAAACAAGGTCTCTATATTGTATATAATGGTCTGATACGATGAAAAACTGCTCTGTGAAGCAATGCTGGCAGCACAGAGTGCAATGAGATGTGAAGCACTGCAACTCTTTGGCAAAAGTCACGGTGCGAGGCCTGGACTTGCTGCAACTCAGCACTGATTCCAAGGGAGCGTAGGATATGCCCAACCTGGATCACATCCACCTGCGCTGTTGGGTGTTCAAGGATTTAATCCTGGAAACACAAGGATCAAGCCCTCCTACTCAAGAAACATGCAGCTGCCGTTCCAACCTCTCCCGACTGGTCAGTATCGAACATGTCAAAGCTTTGTCTGAATTCCTGGCAGAATCAAAGCTCTGAGGCCCAAAGCTCTTGAAGTTGTAGAGGCCATCGCAAGTAGGTGAGACGCCATGGCTAGTAGGTTGGAGAAGAGTACACTCATCAATGCCCTCGGGGATCCATTCTTGTGAAGGAATGTCAGAACTCCTTCACTTCATTGCGAGTGAAGCCATTGTTCGTGCGGAAAATCTCCATCCTGCAGTCTGCAACTTCACTCACAACTTACAACCACATACTGGAAATAAAGAGATGCTTCCAAAACACAGTGATACTTCAAAATTGACATGTTGCTAAAGTTTGTTAATGTTGTCAACAAAATGCCTGACTATAACAACATGTATGGTGCATCAAAAAGTGCTGCAAATATATAATAAAGGAATATAAAGACTGTACAATTCAAGATAGGCTCATGTGGTGAATGCAAATGATATATAACCAACAAATGCTTTATCGATTTCATTGGCAGTGACGCAACAGTTACAACTTCCAAAAGAGCATGCAATGGAGCTTGTGAGAGTATCAAAAGGCGCAGCAAGTACTATTGTCAAGGCCGTCAAGATGCATTTCCACAAATTCATCGAAGTCCATGACATTGCCTTCCACACCCAATATCATCGTGACACTCAATAATGCACCCCTTGCCAGGAAAAGAAAACTGTGCCTTTTAAAGGCCCCACGGCTTCGATTAGGTCCAGTATCACCTCGGTCAGAAAAGTCAAAAGGCTTGACAGGCTTGACGACTCTGACCCACATCATTCCTACATGAAACTGTCATGAGCACCCGTGCCTTCTTCAACAAACGTTGTGAAAGTGCATCAAACGTTGTGCATGTTTGATGCCATGGTTGGAATAATAGCTGGAAAAGAAAGGTCAAAGTGCTGCCGAGCAGCTGCTCTCAACGGGGTGTAGCCCACACGGTGCAGCACCAAACGAATTTCATCCTGTCTCTCTCTCTCTCTCTTTCTGCTCATGAGAACTCGAGGCAGTTGAGGGCAAGCTTGAAGGACAATGCTTTGGTCGCCCATTGGAGTGTTCTATTTCAAACCACAGCTGAAGCAAGAATAGAATGACACGGCATAGGTTGGGTTCTCAGACAAACATGGATTTGGGACACTACATGCAGGAACGTTTAATCCTGTTTCTCCCCGCATGCTAGTGTGGGGTTCTTACTCTTGCCGGGGTATTCCCGATCCCCCTTCTCCCGCCGAGTCCTATCACACCAACTTACTCACATCAACATACTCACCCCAACTTACTCACATCAGCTTACTCACACCAACATGCTCACAACAACTCACTGCTCCATAGAGGGTCTGCTGCTCAGCCAAACGGGTTCGGTCACCGCCGCTCCTCCGCTGCTTTCTGGTGGTCTTTAGAGGGTCTGCTGCTTGGCCAAGCAGGTTCAGTCGCCGCTGCTCTGTTCGTTCCGCAGCTATTCTTTGAGATAAACTACTTTGATGAATAGCCAGAAGTTTCCAATCATCAGCGCCAGCGTTTTCTTTGCGGCATGCCACGACCATTACTACGGCGCGGATGGCTGATTTCCAGATCGGTCATTTGTCTCCATTTCCAAGATCGTCCGCGCGACGGTCTCCATGCACTGTGCTGGCATGTTATCTCATGCTGCCCTGATAGACATGTTACATTCCATCGTTGATTTGCTCCTAGATGTGCATTTCTTTTTGTATTATCTGGGTTTCAAAAATCTGTGACTGACTTCACACCAGAAGCAGACGCCTTGTTCATTGCTGTTCTTGTAGGTTTCTAGATGATGGCCAATGATTTTGGATATGAAGTGGGCAACTTGGCAAGCAGGCGAGCCGTCCGAACAAAGGCCAATGGTGAAAGTCAAAAACTGTTGGTTGAAATTCACTCATTTATATATATATATGTATATATACATATATCTTCGCGTGGCCGTTTTACATCTATTTTTGCCGCTGCGGCAAGAAGCGCTCACTGATCACTGGCCAAAGATACCTTGACGCATGGATATCCAAAAGGCGTCAACATGCTCCTCACAAAGCATACATGCATCACACCTATCTTGATATATCATATCTTCACAAAACGACACCTCCAGTTACGTCATTCCACCACAGCAGCTCGCATTCTACTCACATCACATAGACACATCTTCATGGCCGAATTCCAACCTACTCACGCACTACACACCGTCGCACGGTTCGCATTCTCATCACTCCTGTCCTACCCATTCTCGAGTTTTTGTTGCTTCCATCAATGAAAGCTTGACATGTAGGGTGATCTGGTTCTTTCATTCTATTCCTTTTTGTAAGGTTCTCGGATGGTTCCAGAAGTGTTCATGCAAAGATGATATCGCTGTATCTTCAAAGCCTTAAGTTATATTATATACATACAGTGTATATATATATATACATATATATATATGTCAAATCAAGCAAACATGAGTCCGCAACTGTGGTACTCCTCATCCAGAAAGCCTCCTTTGTCTACATCAGCTCGCTCAAATTCCTGAAGAGTCATTCAATCTGAAGTTTAAACGTATCTGAACGTATCTCCTTCAACAGTATGTATAGGCAGTGTCACTTGACTTATCAGCCACTTGTCGTCCATCCCTCAATGTGGGTGGAAGCTCCTGTCTGTACCATTCGACTTCGGCTTCGCGGAGGCGCCTGGCCAAAAGAGCACAAACACAGGCCGCTCAAAAGAAACGCTCTGCTGCTCCACTCCGCCTCGACCAAATCAAGAATTCGCCTTAGAGTTGCAAAGAAGATGTTGCGTCCGACAAAAGCAAAGATGCAAGTCATTGCATACAACATCGAGAAACTATGTCGTACAATAATTACATGTTGATGTGCATGCTCTGGACGAAAGCAGTGGATCTGTGGATCGTAACAGCTGGGTAAAGTGTTTTAGGATAAGGCGGGCTCAGTATAGTGCTCAGATCTAGCACTAAGGTGCCTGCACGTTCATCTGCCCTATGTAACGTTTGCTCGTTCACTGGGGAAACTACGCAGAGTCATGCCTTCAACCCGATTTGCTCTTTTTGCCTCGCAAATCCCAGCTTGGCTAGCATCTGTGCGTGAAGAAAAGTTCTTCGGTGCTATACATAAAGAAAAAGATGTGTTCCACGCGAATCTGTTGCCTCATCACCAGCGTCGCTTTGTCGCTGTGGTGGCCTCATACACAAGAAGGCTCTCATCAATGTACATCAACAAAAGAATAACAGGGCATGCACGCTGAAAAG